AGGTGCTCCTTTTTTCTATACGAGCATAGCCTTAGAAATAAAAGCTGGATTCTAGGCCTTGAGCGTATCTCACCAATTTTTTTTTTTAGCACTTGCATATTATTTATACCTTCTCCAGCAGCCTTCAAGGCTGTTATGCTGAAGATAGTGAAAATCATTGCTGAAGATCCCAAGCCATAATAGATCTGGGGAAATATTTTTATTTGTGAGAAGCAGTGTTGCTAACATCGAGGCTGCCACAGTCTTCCTTGCAGTCTGCCTCTGCAGTGAGACACTTGCTTTACTATATATGGAAGAATGGCAGTATATTGTGAGACAACAGAGCTAAGTAAACAAGCAGCAAAACTGAGAAGAGGGGCCTTGTTCATGCTAACTTCTCATTGAGGTGGTCTCCTTTGCGTGCACTGATGCCAGACCACAGCCTCTGTCCCTAAACCAGATCCTGGTGACTCAGCAAAACTTTGTAATTGTAAAACAATCTGCAGCTCAGACTCTGTAGGGGTCATTTCAGAAAGGCTAAGCCAGACTGTAGCTGTGTGTAGTGAGTTCCAGGCTGGCCTTGTTCCAAGTTGCTGTAATTGGCCCCACAGACAAGATAGGTGCAGACAGGTTCACAGAATAGAAGAACTGTACCTCTTCCTCAGAAACTCCACTTTGATCCTGCTACTGAAGTACATCAGGTGTTCCCCATGTCAGTTCATAGCTCCTATGTTTGTAAAGCTGTCACCTTACTTTCTATCTTAAATCCATTTTTATGATGCAAAGGTTGGTTTTAACCACCAGATCGGATCTGACGCGAGCTTAAAAGGTGGTGAGCTGTAGTTTCTTCTTTTCTGTTTTGAGATTCTGGAGTTTTGTTCCTCATCCTCCCTGCTCTCTCCATATTTTTTCATCTGTTTTGTCCACTAGTTTTTCTGGTCTAGCAGATAGATTGCAAACTCTCTGGACACGAGTTTTTTATTTTTCCAAGTGGTGCTTGGCACAGTGGAGTGCTTGTGCAATGCTGGGGTTCCTGCATGCACACAGAGTCAAAACAGCAACAGCAAAGCTCTGTTTGTCAAGTTGCTTAGCAGGGTGACTGCTCTCCCCAGATAGCTCCATACAGATGTTCATGAGTGTTGTCTTGGAGCTCAGGGTCTACAGCTGTGCTTGCTTCATCACACTTTGAGTTCTAGTGACAGTCCACAGGAAAACATGGGGAGAATTACAAGAAGTGTTGCCCTTGACCTAAGTCGCATTTTGCAGTGACATAATAGACTATGCCAGCAGTGAAAAGGGATTGACAGTCCTCTGAGGGACAGTGTTTGATCTAAATGATGCAAATTGTAGTAACTGCTATGGTCAGACTTACTGTCGTGTTCAGTGGGACCTGCAGCAGTGATATTTTAGCAGTTTTGGCTTTGGATAATTAACCCATGGAAGTAATTGAACAAGCTGTTCTTTCCTTTACCCATGCTAATCTCACAGCTTTCTCAGGCAGGACATCTGTAAACATAACTGTGTGACTTCACTCACTCGGCATTGTCTCCCAGGCAGGTGTTAGATTATAAACTGGTTGCTCTTTACAAGTATTTCTGCTAACGTCCTTGATACTCAGTTCTCTGGGTGAGGCCTTTACAGTCTCTGAAACAGAGCAGTTCCCGTCGTGCAAGTGAGGAGATAGGTTTTTATGTACCTTTGCTTTCTTCGAATCTTTATGGGGCTAAAAGCAGGAAACAAGTAAAAATGGATGAGAGAGAAACATGTTTTTAAGAAGAGAAGGTTGTGGTGGCTGTATCTGAACCTATTGAGAAGCACCTGTACCTTGTGTTGAGAAGCACAGCTGTTCTGTGCTGGCTCTCTTGCCCGTCTGTGCATGGCACTTTGAACAGTGCTCTTCAATAAGAGTTTGAAGATAGTGTGGGTTTTTCAGTCTGCATCTGTATTTTCCTTGCTGGCTTACTGCACTTTTCAGTTTTCTCCAGAATTATGTATCAAATAGACTTTTTTTTTTCTTTTTCAATTTTTATTAAAATCTCTACAACACACTGTCTTTGCCAGAAAAATTTTGAATGACTTGTCCTCAGACGCCCCAGGAGTGCCAAGGATTGAAGAAGAAAAGTCTGAAGAGGAAACAGCAGCACCTGCCATCGCCACTGTTACGGTGCCAACTCCCATTTACCAAACCAGCAGTGGGCAGTACAGTATGTAGTCTGAATTTCTCAGTGGTGCTAGTAAGTGGGGATGAGAAGATGAAGAACTATTATTTCTGTAACTGTTTGGACTAGGACAAGGCAGGAGGTGGAAATCAGATTACTTTGACTGTTTGATAGCCATGCCTTTTAAACACATTCCTATTTAGAGTATTTTAAATATTCAGTTAACATTCTGGGACTGCTTGCCAGTTAGTACAGCTAATGCATCCTGAGGCAACATATGAACTAACCATAAACTTTTTCACTTCAAGAATCAGATGAGGTAATACCGAAGTTTCTTTTATTCCTGGCAGTTTATTAGTCCTGGTTCACAAAACTGTAACCTCCTTAACAGAGGAAAATCTCTTTAAAATTTTGTATCTCTGTTTACTCCTTAGGCACTTTGCCTAATACCCTACTTAATTTTATTGAAACTGATGTGGTTAACTCTGCTTTCCGACCGTAACTGTAAAGTAACTGCTTTGTGCAGATACTTGAGCTGTTGGTGTCTCTGTATATAGGAACACAGTGAAATCTTGTGGAATCATGAATGAAGGGTGATGTCTCAGTACACCTGCATGACAGGATTGAGGGAAAGAAAGGGAAAAAATAGGGAAGTAAGACTGCTTGAAGGAAGAAAAATGTGTGAAACTAGACCGTTATGAACGAAAACACTGCTAGGAAGGTGCTGAGGAAATTGTAGAGAAGGGGGATACAATCAGAAGAAAAAATAATGCCAAAGCAAGAAGAAAGTGAAATCCAAGATGGATAGCAATAGCAGCAGAGGAGACTAAAGGGCATAAAACATGGAAGAGGAGAGAAATTTCAGATAAGAAGAAAAAAGAAAGGACTGAGGAATAAAACTAAACCAACCAAGAAGAAAATCCTAACTAACAAATTAAAAAGTATACCCTGGGAGAGGACTGTTACTCCTCTGTGTGATGCTGTTTTATCAGAGAAACTAATTTGTGTTTTAGTGTGTGTTTCTTGGTCCCCCCAAAAATATGGTTCTCATGAAAAATTGAAAGCTTAATTTTCAAAGCATGATTTCTTCAACGCACGTTAAAGCCATGTGTCTGATGTGAGAGTGCATAAGGGTTCAAGGAATTTAACTCAGGACACTATTCTTCCATATCTAGGTTTAATACTGTAAGCTAATGAGTAAATTAGTGTCTTATATGCTGTGTCAATTTGTCTTCAGTTGCTATAACCCAAGGAGGAGCAATACAGTTGTCTAACAATGGCACAGATGGAGTACAAGGTCTCCAGACATTGACTATGACCAATGCAGCTGCAACACAACCTGGCACCACCATTTTACAGTATGCACAGACCACAGATGGACAACAGATACTTGTACCCAGCAACCAGGTTGTGGTACAAGGTAAGAAACTTCACAGCCAGTCATTCTGTATAACATTTTCTCCATGCAGATATAAGTTGCCAACCTAACTCCTTCAAATGTGTCAGGAAAAAGAATTAACAGCTTTGGCACAGAGGAGTCTCCAAAATTACTAAAGGAAGGTCTGGACAAAGCTATTTGTCACATTTTCTTGGAGCCTCTCCCTTCAGATTGATAAAACTGTGGGTATTTTGGGTTTACTTCTTAAAACAATGCATTTATTTTTGGTTTTCCATTCTGTATTTCCTGCATGATTTTTTTTTTTAATATTCTACAAAAACTACTATTACTTTACAGTTCTGAGATCTCCCAGATAGTAAATTTAAAGCAAAGCATTAAAGTTAGGAAAGAAGGTTGTTTGATTCTTTCTATAAGGACACTTAAATTTATTGGTAATTTTTCCCCTTTTCAATGTCAAGTCATAATTTCTTCCTAATGTGGCTTTTGTAACTAGTCACCAAGTCATCATTGAGTCTTAGAATCATAAAATAATTCAGGAAAGTGCCTTAAGAGATCATTTGGTCTAGCCCTCCACTTGGAGCAAGCATGGCTACTTCAACTGAGAATAAGTTGGGGTTTTTTATTGTATTAAAATATATGTTTTGGTTTCTTTAAAATTGGGGGAGGTATTAAAAATGTATTTAAAAAACCAGAAAAGTGTACCTCTGCTTTTATGATTGTAAAGCCAGTGATTTGAAAGTTGTCCAGTGATGAGATCTCCAGGCATCAGTGAAAATACATAGCTGAGAAAAATACTATTGTTACTCTGATCCTCTGTTTTTTGTGTTCTTAAGGACGTGATTTCTTTAGGTGGTATCGTATTTTTTAGAATCCTGTGCAAATGTAACACACTCCTAGATTACAATAAACAAACAAAAGAAACACAAGACCTTGTTCATTCTAGAGAAATAGTGAAGTTGAGTTCCTAGTTTGCACTGTCTCTCTCTTGTTCGAGTAAATGCTACATTTCTACACCCTTTTTTCTCTGCCAAATATTTATACATGTAGTTTCTCCTTTTGCAGATAGACATTTGAAGCATAGCTAGAAATACCGTTTGCCATCTTTCGTCTTCTTAAAACTGCTAAAACTGCCCAAAAACCAGAGAAGTAAAATATACTAAGGGAGCACAGCAATACAGCAGGACAAATCAAGTTATCAAGCACAAATGAAGACTTCTTCAGCAGAAATTGTATACATTAATAAACTGAGACTGAGATAGCAATGGTGACCCAGGTGATGGTTGTCCCTCGTGTACTGTAGCCCAGAGTGCATGGTTATATAGAAGACTCTTTGCACCAAATTTAACAGCGCTGTCACCGAACTAACATCATGTTCCCATGTGTCTTTCAGCTGCCTCAGGAGATGTGCAGACCTACCAGATTCGCACTGCCCCTACCAGCACCATTGCACCAGGCGTAGTCATGGCATCCTCTCCAGCACTTCCAACACAGCCAGCAGAAGAGGCTGCACGGAAGAGAGAAGTGCGTCTAATGAAGAACAGGCACGTACAGTTAGATAATTTTTTTTTCCAGTCAGCTCTGCATAGAACTAGAGTGTTAAGCACTAAGAATCCTCATCTATCTTAGTCATTTTATTAAATGCTTTCTGAAGAATTTGCCTTTATTTAAAGATGCAAAGCAAAGAAGCACATCTGCTAATGTCATGTATTGTGACTATGAAACCTTAAGTAAAGGTTAATTCTGTGTAAAATAAAGGAAAGTAGTTTGTTGCCATAAGGAGATAAGTCATTGGTGAGAGACTTGTATGACTGCACATATGTTCTTACAAACACTGAGGTGAGCTGATTTTTTTGAGTTGATACATTCATGTAGTTTCCTTTCCTGGATTCTTTACCTTAGCCTTCTGCATGCATTCTCCTTGCTGCTGGCCCACCAGCACTCTTCGCAAGTGCTTTCTTTATTGTGTCACTTGTTTTCTTTAGCTGCTTGCCCTTTGGGTTTTATCCTCCCGAGGCAGAAAGACTCAGGGAAAGGCTAAACAAGCAGCTACTCCTTTTGATGTCTTGTGGAGCCAGTAGTGGCAGCAGAGGGGCTGAAAGAGAGACAGACCCCGTAGCATTTAGTGTGTGCAGAAGAACAGCCAAGCCTACTGAGGTGGGGCTTGGTGGAAGCAGCGAAGGAAGGGAGCAGCAGAGAGAAGTTGAGGGTGATGCTCCTTAAACCTACTCATGTGGGAGAGGGAAGGGGTGGCCTGAGCGGACCCATCACGACAAGCTTGAACTCCATCTGCAGGCCACAGATTTGAGCCTGTATGTTCCACAGTGACACTGGGAAAACAACAGTGCTTCCCTCCCCTCTGAGGAGGGGAGGCCCCGTAAAACCACTGTTTACTTCATCCATCAGTCTGAAAAAACTGTTATGTTGTACAGGCGCATTTATCTTCTGTAAATTGAGAGTTACATGAACAGACTGAATGCCTGTCTGAGGGGCTTTAATGAAGTAAATAATGCTCAACAGCAGAGGTCACTTTTCAAAAGGTTTTTGTACAGAATGTCGGACATTTCCCCTTTTTATATATTTTTCTGATATCACTGATTTGTAGATGTCACCCTTTCAGGCTCTTCATTTGAGAAAAAATTAATTAGCATTCTGAATCCCCTCATTTAGTCAGCAGTCTTACTCCAGTAAAAGAAAGCTTTTGTGTTTGGGAAAGCCAAGAAAAAACAGTGGGGACCTGCCCCCACTTGAGTTAAATTGACAGCTTTTGCAACAGTATCATGTTGCATGTGGTGCTTTTAGCCTGCCTGCTTAATAGGTATTTGCAAATCTAAGCTCCATAGCAAAGCAGGGAAAGGCGTTGAGAGAGGCAGATGGTGAGGTGGTACTCATTGGAGGATTATAGTGTAAATATTCATACTTATTATTGTGTAAATTTTCAGTGTAAATTTTAAAGCTCTCTTGTAATTCCGTATAACTCCAGCTGTTCATAATGAATAACTAATGCACACGGACTTGAGGTGGCTTAATATACAACCCAAGCTGGCACAAAAATCACAAAAAGAAAGAAAAAGTTGTCACCCAAGAGGACAAGTTAGTACTTTGCACTGGGAGGCACCTCTTGATGCAGTAGTAAGTAGTCTTCTGGTGACACATGTAACAGCCCAAAATGACTTAAATTATAAATGTTGCACATGGCCCACTGAAGTGCTGCAAGCATGTGAAATTGTATTTGTAGGAGTAACAAATGGATACCTGAGTCCTTTCAGGGCTTACAAACGAGGTTTTCTTTATCCTGTCTCATTTGTGGAGCTGAATTTTTAAAATTACTTTTAGTGTCTTCTTACCAGGTAGGCTCTGGAACAGACATTCTTTTTACTTAGTACTACAACTGCTGTTTTATCTGCTAAGCAGAACTGGGTTCCGTTTTGTCCTCTCATTTCCTAGAACATTGACCATATCACCAATCTCTGCAGTATTTGCAGTGAAGGGACGCTCTGACTCTCCTTTTGAAGCTGCTCTTGCACCTAAAGGTTCAGAGCAAATGAGCATGTACGTTTACATGTATCTGCAGTGTCCTGCTTTGACAGTGTGTGCTTTGATGAGAGTCCTCTGCCTGGACTCCCATCCACCTGCAGCATTTAGCCTTGTGTTTACTTTGCACTCTGATACCATTTATGCTGCTGTGCAGGATAGCTTCTGCCTTGGTGTTACTGCCTTCAGGATGCTCAGCAGCACATTAACACCTTCCGGGTGTGTTTCATTGGCGTTCTGAGTATGTTACCAAGTTACCTACAGGCAGCTCAGTCTTTACAAGCAAACCTTGGAAAGTTTGACTGTCTCAAGATCTGCTTCAGCACATTAACAATGCCATGTTCTTGGCACAGCAGACAAGGACTAAAGAATGGTATGGTTGCTAGTGACACATTATTTTGTGATTTTTTTGTTTGAGTTGTTTATATTACCATTGCAGTGATGCAGACATTATTAATAAAATAAAGCATACTCAAGAGCAAATATATGAATGCTCTAAATACAGCTTTTCTTGCAATGGTTGAACATCCGGACTATTATTATTTGGTTGGACTGCAGCAAAGGGAAGTTAAGACTATAAAGAGATTAATAGATGAACATTGGTCTTATCCATGTTTTTATTATTCATCATTATTTATTATAATAAAATCAATGAAATTATTGCAGCAGCATTCAACTTGGCCTAAATGGTCTAATGTAAATCCCGCAAGCAGAATTTTGTCACTGAGAAGGATTCTTTTCTTGTAGAAGCAGAATTTTATTGGTGCTGAGTTACTGGGATCTGTGTGTTGAAATGATTTGTGGATCTTGAGTGTGTGTGATTTGTGAGGAGCAACTGTTACGAAGTCAGCCTTTTTCCTAACTTATGTTTCTTAACAACACCTCCATATTCTTAAAATCGCAGTACTAGGTAAAGGTTTGACCTGAACAGCTGAGTAGCCCATGTCTGCAAGTAATTGTTCCAGATTTGAATGGCCTTTTTTGTTTTGCAGAGAGGCAGCACGTGAATGTCGTAGGAAGAAAAAGGAGTATGTGAAATGTCTAGAAAATCGAGTGGCTGTGCTTGAAAACCAAAACAAGACACTGATTGAGGAGTTGAAAGCACTTAAGGACCTTTACTGCCACAAATCAGATTAATTTGGGATTCCCATTTTCACTTGTCCAGGTGGGATCGAGACTGGTTCTGGCTATACCCAGAAAGACAAAGTAAACTTTTTATTTTCTAAACATTTCTTTTTTTCTATGCGCAAAACTGCCTGAAGCAACTACAGAATATACTTCATCTGTGCTTTGCATCAAACTGTGAATGTTCAAGTACTTGCCTCCACTTCTCCCCCCTACAAGATTATTTTCATCATCAGTCTCAGCGTAAGAAGAACAGGCTTCTTTGTCGTCTCCCCATCCTCTTCAAGGAATAACAGTGGTCACTTGGGATGCTCCTGTGGGGAGGGTCCTTTTGTAATGATTTCAAGAGTTTGTGCTGACCTCTTTCCATTGCCTTAGAGACAGAACCACCCCAGCCTCTTGGTCCAGAGAACTGTGGGCCACATAGGTGGAGCATGCATGGTGCAATGAAGAAGCAATGGTTGCCAAACTGGTTTCACATATTCAGTATGAACTCTAAAAATACACGGCTAAGCGGCATGCCAAATGAAAGGTGCTTCACAGTCACGTTCTTGGTGTGGAGATAACATACCTTTTTCAAACTAGTCCAGGAGGGGTTTTGATTTGTAATCTGTATTAAGCCCTCCTGGACTAGTAGAAACTTCTCCATAACTCAGAAACAAATTCATTGAAATGAGCTTCACAGGTCAGTTGTTGCTTCTCGAAGCTTATGTGTCCAGGTGTGTTCAGCATTCTGAATGCACAAAAAGCAAACACCAACTTCATAGGATATTGGTTGGGAAGTGATATTTGCGTGGAAAACAAATTCAGAATGAAACAGATAAAATAGTGACGTTTAGAAAACAGTCACATAGTAATCAAGGGTAACACATGAAAGCCCTCTGCCTATTTGTATGCAGAACAACTAAGCAATTGAAGCATGGCCAACTCCACATACATACTCCCTGATGACAGTATAGTTTGCGTCCCAAGTCCTCTCAAGCAATGAGGTTATTTCTGTTTCCCTACCACTATCTTATGTAATGGAAATTATTGTACTCAATGGAAACATCAGCCTGGTTTGCTAGATTCTTTTTCAAACTTTGAGGCTGGCTTCCATGCATAAATTAAATTGCAGTGTGACAACTGCCGGGACAACCTCAAATATTGAAGAGGACTTCAGACACAACTTCTGCTTCGCAAGGGACAATATTAATTATTTGAACCTGGCCAGGCTAGCTAAATTCTTAATTTATACAAAATTTTCAGATTTACTGAGTAATTTATTCCTGTAAGTAAAATCACTCATGTGCCTCAGACATTTGAGATCAAATTTTTTTGTGTGCTTTGAGGAAATGTGATCTTTCCTAGATATACATTGTTAAAAAGGTAGCTCATGTTTAAAAACTCTCTACTAAGCATTAGGACTTCAAAAGAATCATGCTCAAAAAGAACCAGAAAAGAATGTCAAGAAATTGTCGAAAAGAATGTGTCAAAAAGAATCGTGCAGTTTATTTACTGGCCCTCTGAAGCCAGTCTCTTGAAACTAATTTGGGTCATTTGGTGGAGTAAGTTTACTTTGGGCTTCTGGTCAAACTTTTATGTATAGAGACGTATAAATAAGGCTCTGGTCTGTACTAATGCCTTGCTTAACAAAGTATTAGCAAATATTTTTTTTTCCCATTCACTCAATCTGTTTTTAAGATAAATTTCAACTACGAGCTTCTAAAAGGTTGTACAGTCAATGTGACATTATAGGAAGAACATTTGTAAGACTCTGGGCAGTTGAGTCTCAAACAGCTAAGCAGTATTAAAAGTTCTAGTTTTCTCATTTGAGAGAGTATTCAGTTTCCAAGAGACTTTAAAAGGAGCAGGGTTAAACTTGTAGCATTATTGCTAAATCTAGAGTTATCAATAATGTCAAGTTATATTTGTATTTCAAGAAGAGAACGTAACAGAATTATGAAAGAATTCATTTTCACAAGTTTTGAAGGGGTTTATAATGGTCTATTTTTATCTGCCATAGAGAATTGGTTTTCATGTTTTTATTTAATGGAAGATTAATTTATTAGTTTAGCAATGCAAATTTAAAGAAGACCCTAAATTCTCAGCAATGCTTTTATACAAATTGTCTGATTCTTAAAAGTCAGAGAATACAAATACATACAACAGTTACCAGTTTTTCAGAACTAGTGCTGAAGTAGAAACATCAATAACACAGGAGTCATTCTGGTAAGACATGAAGCTCATGATGGCCTGATTTACACAGTTACATGGAATAGTTGCTCCGGCTTTGACAAACACAGAAAAGGCTGTATGTGCCTACGCTAAGGCTGTTTCTTTTGTAGAAACATCTGTTTGCAAAAACTTTAGGTTTTTGCAGTGAACCTGAGTGAGGCTAGCTGTGATCTGAGAGCTGTTCCTAGTGGTAATGAGCACTGTCTAGAACTTGCTGATAGTCACTCGGCACAAAGCCTGGGAGCTGGATGGACCAGGGAGCCTACACCAGTACCTGGACAGGGTTCTTCTAATACAGGGTTGGTGCAAATCTGTGTGGCAGTGAGAGAAGAACTGTGTTACCGGTTTGTCTGTGCGTGGTCTGTGAGTAGTCTGTAGTGTTATTAATCTAGACCTCTCTAGCAACTAACATTTCACTAAGAAAAAGAACATTATTTTAAAGTACGTAGGGATCTGCACGAATCTTTATTTTTATTTATGCTGCACTGAGGATGTAAGGACTTGAGTTTCTTTAATGGAAATTTTAAATGCTAATAATAAAAAATGTATTAGACCAAGTACAGGGCTGGATAGGGTTACCCATACATGCTTTACTGTTCTTATTGACCCAGAAAGGGAAAGAATATGACAGAGGAATCCATTTGTATGTTATTTACCAAGCAGTGAGGTTGGGGTAATCAGCTTCTATAAACTAAGGCCATGTGGAAGTAGGACGGAAATTATGCTGGGAGAGGGGAGGGAGGGTTAGTTTTATATCTCACAGTTGTGAGTTTTCAAGAATTGATAGCCTGTTTACCTGAAGAGAGGGTTAGAAAGGGCTAGATCCATTATGTTCATAATAAATGAGAATTGATTTGAAATATAATTTTTGTAATGTCATTATTTTGCAAAACAACAGCACCGAGCAGGCAGTTAAGATATTGTCAGAGGTGCTGTTTTAATTTAGATATTCTTGGAAAATACGTATGTATAATATATGTACATATATATATATACACACAGTATATAATCTACAGCTCTGAGAGCTTTTAAGTCAGGAATGCTGAGTATTATAGTATATGGAGGTCAGAAAAAATTTTTACTTTTCTGTGTGTGTCTGGGTGTGTGTGGATGTATGCGCGTGTGTGAAAGCTTCCCCCTGCCCCAGTAGTTCTGGGCTGCATTATTCTAGCGCTTATTACTGATTTGTTTTGTGCTGTTTCTCAGTTATTAATTTTTCAAAAAATTTATTTCATTTTTCATGGCTTTTGTGAGATTTGTTTTTGGTTTTTATTGATGGAGATTTTTGAAATTACGTAAACAGTTGTTTTATGACAACCGCCACCTCCCAGAATAATTCACTTTTGCGCTTTTCCTCTTTGGCAGCTATATATCAAAGGCAAAACAATTGGAAAGCTTGTAAAGGAACCACTGGTAAAACTTCCTGTTTTCCTCCTGGGGTAGTGGTGATGGATTTTTATTTAAGCAGCAATTTCACCAGAATCGAGTAGTTGCCAGCACCATTGCTTGAATCTGAAAGCACAATTTTAGCCTGTCATGCTCGTCAGGACTGTACAGACACCTGTAGGTTCTTGCTTTTCTGTAGCTGGTATTTGCATTGCAGACCACTGTCTTCTCTGGTACTTGTATGTTGATCAGAAAACTTGTGGGGTGTTTGGAATCACTAAGGGGCTCAGGAAAAAAAAAAAAAAGTTAGATTTAATAAGGAAAAACAGCCCTGATAGTTTCTGATCTACATTTGTACTACAGGTTCTTTTAAATCTGGGCTTCCAGTAGACTGCAGCTGCAAATAGTAATCTGTTATCAAAAACTGGCCTCTGCTTTTTTATTTCATATTTTTTTAATTTATGACAGACAGAGTGCTTTTTGTGGGTTAAAGACAAGACAAGTCTCCTCATCAAAGTAAGTTCACTATCAGTGGTTACAAATCTGTGACAATTCATAGAGGATTTAATTGGTTTTCTAAGACCCTGTTTTTATTGTCATTTTTTCACCCTGAATCTGGTTAGTGATGTAACATTTGCCAATGATCTAACCAAAAGGTCATGTGTTTATTTTTGCTACACTATATTATTTGTAAGTGTTTAATTAAAATGTGCACTTTTTAAAAAAAAAAAAAACAAAACAAAACACACAGAACAAATAAAATTAAGAGCAATTGGGTCTGCTTGAGAAGCTCCCTGGCACAATCGTTGTAATCCTGCTGCCTGCACACAATTCACTCCTCTCCCCACAGCAGCTGACTCCTTTGCAAATTTAACTTGCTGATTAGCACCTGGTGTCCAGCAGGGCATTACTTCAAAATGGCAGGAGATCTGAACTGGCAGTACTGAAGGCTGGAAAGAATTAAGTGTGTGATGTCTCAGAGCAGTATGAACAGGATGGATGTGAAATTATTTTTAGAATAGAACTAGTTCAGTGATCCCAAGTGGGAAAGGGAGGTTAATTTGGAAGGAAAGCTAAACTATTCTTCAGTCACTTTATTCCCCTTTTCTTAATTTGAGATTTGGCTGCGAATTTTACAAGCTGCATTCCAAGAAAATAAATCAAAAGGTTTTTTTGATTCTTAGACACCAGGAAGTGAAGGTACATTGACAATGTGTCACCCTGCTTTAAGAGATTAAAAAAAGCACAATGAGCTTTCTTTTGCAGGAAAAATTATAATTTAGCTATAGCCCTGAAATCTGTCACTGTGAGCAAGTTTTAAAAGCATACAGTACATTGATGGTTGCCTGGATTGTGCCTGGGAACTTGTTTCCCTGAGCTTTTGAATTTGCAGTAAAAGACTCTGATTTTGCAGAAACCTGAGTGTATTGTGAAGCTCAGTTGGTCTGGGAGAATCCAAACTGATGAAGAGAAACGGTGCTGAAATCCTAGCTACTGTGTGCTGGTGACAGGTTCAGGTCTGTGGATGGATATGGCTTAAATCTGTACATCTTTGGGGAAACAGGACCAGATTCGGTTGGTAAAGAGGATTTGCATTTCAAGTGTTTTGCCTTGGAATGTGTTTTGTAAATGTATTTAAGCTCTGGCCCACAAAGAGACTTTCTTGGGCTAGTTTGCGTAGCACAAATTGAAGACAGTGACCTGTCTGCATTCTGGTTCTGCAAGTGCAGCGTGTGACTTGCTGTGTCGGTGGTGAGTTCAGGTCTGGCTTTTGCCAGCGAGAGGCAGAAGTCAGCCGTCCTCAGGAGCTGTGTGCTGGCAGGGAGAGGGCCAGGGACAGGCTGTAGGGATCCACGGTTGGCACACTTCATAAGCTGACCACTTACTGTACTCACGACTTGGGAGCAGTCAGTTCACTTGGTCTCAGTCTCAGCTAGGTATTTCTCTACATTAGGGGATAGCTGAGTGAGAGCACAGGGAAGGAAGGCTTGAGCCATTAGTTATCTGGAAATGGCACTCTTGAGAACTAAGGATGTTCAGATGCTCTCGACAAGTTGTGTTTTATCCAGGTGCCACTCCATTTTTTTGTGTGTGTAATGACATTTATTTATGTTAAAACATTAAGTTTTAAGAGTTCTAGAACTTCGACTTTGTATGAGATTTGAAACTGTGCTGCTTGTATGGACTTACAGAGGTGGGATGGGGAACAGGGCAAGTAGAGGTGCTAGCTGGCAGCCAACCCCTCCGCAGACTTGTCCACAGATTGGTTGTTTACTTCAAAAATGAATTGTTTCTACTCTGGATTTATAATTTGGAATTTTTTTTGGAACAACGTTTTTCAGGGAAGCTTCCAGGGTGAGGGTTGTTATTCTCCCTTTGTAATGTAAGCCACAAAGAGTAAGTTCACCTCATCTGCATTTCTGATTCTTTACCCAAACTATGTCAGCACAGAATAGGGTATTTGAGCCTGACTCCCACATACTTGTGGAAGTTGAAGGACTAAATGAAAATCCATTATTGGGGGAAAATAAATTCTTACTTACGTTTCCTGAAAAATCTAGAAACATCCCTGTTGTGTTTTTTTTTACTTATTTTTTTGTGCTTTATCTGTGTTTTAAAAAAAAATGTACTGGGTTATAATGCCTTTTATTAACACTATGTACATATTAGCTGCTTTGTGTTTCAGAATGGTAGTAATTGCTTTGTATATTAAAGTGATTGTGAATTTGTGAATTATTGTCATAAAGAAGTGCTTTTTCTTACTGTAACCTTTGTGGTATAAACTGTCATAATTCCCTTTTTACACA